TCGATTTTCGCCGGCCTAGGCCGAAATCAGCGCCGGCGGACCCAGACCGAACCCGGCACGCTGGGGGCGGCCGGTGGCGCCGGGGCGAGTGGTTTTGGCGCGAAGTAGCCGCGGGCCTACCGAGTCAGCGAGACGGGCGCTTCGTCGCCCTCGTCGCCGCGGGAATGCCAAGGTTGTCGCGCTGCCGCCGCCGGTCAGCCTTGCCATTGATTCCTCACGGGCGGCGCGTCACGGGGCGGCGTGGCGACGTCTCCCCTCCCGCGATGCGTACACACGGGCGCAGCTATATAAGTCGGCGCCCTCCCTCGCTAGGCCACACCAGTCCTAGCCGCCGAGCTCTCTCCCTCTGTCGTGCACCGCCACCGCCGAGCCCTCCCTCTTCCTCTCCCGTGCGCCGCCTCTGAGTCCACCCTCACTCCGACAGCCCCCCAATGGCCGAACGCTTCCCCGATGACGAGGCAGCGGCCAACGGCTTCGGCTGCCGCTCGATCCGCGAATAGGAGTCCTGGCTCATGTTCGAGTCCAACATCCCGGCGCCGCCGGACATGCGCGCCGGGCCGTCGGGGTGGCGGCTCAGCAACGGGGGAGTGCCCGTTCCCCCGGTGCCTGACGTCGTGGCGCGGCCCGCCTACTTCACCGACGAGGTCAAGCTCGCGCGCGCCTCCCTTACCGACGAGCAGCGCGCCCTGCCCCAGTACGCTGCCGACAACCACTCAGCGTGGGCGGCGTACTTCTAGCACCGACAAGAGCAGAGGATGGCGTCCACCAACAGGGCGCTGGTGGTGGGCGGCATGAAGAACAGCGAGGCGCGCCGCGTGTGGTGGGGCGTCCCCAGCCGCACACTCGACGCCGTGCTGGCACACCTCGAGGGCGGCAACGAGGCGCCACCGGCATACCCTCCCCCGGCGGCTCCGGCCCCGGCCCACCGCCGACGCGCCGGGCAATGACTACCGAGGAGGTTCGTCTCCTCGTCGTCTTCCTCCTCCTCGTCGCGATCCTCTTTCCACTCCTCTGGCTCTCCGGTGCTGCTCGGCGTCAAGGCCGAGCCGCGGCGGAGACGCCGCTCGGTCGACGCACCCGCAGCGCCGACATCGTCATCAACGAAGGCGGTCGGCGCGCCCCATCGTCGGCTCTTCCATGCTTCGTCAAGCCGAAGACGGAGCCGGGGCTCGCGCCAGTGAAAACGGAGCCGGGGCTCCCCGCCGTGAGTATGGAACCCGGCGAGGTGGAGCTCGACGATGATGCGGCCCTGAAATTGGCGCGCAAGGACTTCCTCAGGATGGAAAGGGAGCGTCAGGTCGCCGTACTGCGGCGCTTCGAGCAGCGCCGCCGAGGCCGCGAAGAAGGAGGAGTCGTCGTCCTCGACGACAGCGACGACGACGCGCCGCCGCCGCCGGCACCTGTCCGCCATGGCGATGCCGGGCAGGGGTGCAGCAGGGACGACCGCGTCAAGGAGGAGAAGGCTGACGACGACGACGGCGGCGAGGATGGCGGCGACGACGACGACTACTCGGCGTTCAGCAATTTCTTTTTATAGTTTTATGTAACGCGTGGTGAACATGTCTAATATATGCCGAAGTTTGCCGAAATTTAGCCGTGTTTAAACGAACTGAGTCGAATGTTTTTTTTTTGAAAAAATTAGACGCGCCTATAGGCGGCCCTGGAGCCGGCGACTGGGGACCAGCTCGCCTCAGGCTATTTTTTTGCGCCAGCTCGTCCCCGGGCGGCGATTTTAGGCGCCTGGGGGCCAACGGCTGGCGATGCTCTCAGCTCTGGCTTGCAAAGATCTTTAAAAAAAAGGGCTCTTGCATGCAAAGGGCGTGGGACGCAGGGCGGCGACCAGGAAAGAAAAGTACTCCCGATCTCCAAACAATTTAGATCATCAGGGAGCCAAAAGGCCTCCCCGGTCCATAATGAAACCTGAGTAACCGGATCTCCAAATTTCAATCTTCAATCTCCAACCAGTGGCCTGAGGATGATGGTGGTCTGCGGTGTCGAAATCGCAGCTATCAGTGAAGCCAGTGGCGTGGCTGACGTTGGTTATGGGCAAGACACGATGGATATGGGCGACGGTAGGGTAGCAATGTGCGGTGCACCGGATGAAAGTTTGTCTAATTTTTGTCAGATCGGTGGTGATGATGCCTTGGGGCATTGTTTCCCTTGTTGGAGGAATTGCCAAGGAGCTCGGCACCTTCCGCTCAAGTCTATGTGCTCTCCAGGTGAAAGCCCTTGACCCGCTTTTGCCCGATCGAGCGATGATGATGTCTTTGACATGGCTCCCTCTTGGTGGTGTCGCCTTGGAGGCACTAACTATCATCGTTGGTCAACGAGCGTTTTTTGTGACGAATGAGCGGCTGGCATGGGGCTGTGGTGTCGACATCACGATGCAGTTGTTCGGTTGATGCTGGAAATGTGTGGTTGTCCTCCTCTTGACATGACCCAATTGTGGTGGTTCGGTGCCCCCAGCGGCATTGAACTGTGAAGTCAAAGTCGTCGGGTCGTGGGTGCAATGAATGATGGGTGAAGACGCAACTCACTGTTCTTAGAAGTGTTCTTTGTTTGTGTATTGTACTGGATCGGTTCTACCATCGTGTGTTCATTTGGCGATACTCTAAGCTTAGTTTAGCTAGGTAGCTTGCCCGTGGTTTTCAGGGTTTTTGCATGGTTTTCGTCAAATTGACTGATACATGTATGGTTACCTAGTTTCGGTTGTGTTCCATGTAAATGGGTTCCTTCCAATGGGTGGATTTCCCTGACAGTTTCTTTGGCAATAAATAACCCGGCGATGGTTGTTTCATAGGAATTTTTTTTCCAAAATCTCTCTTTTTATATGAGATGAATTGTTTGAACTTGTTCTTTTTGATAGATCTCATTATTTTCGTCCTTGCGAGGCTGATTAAAGGCATGTACAATGGTGCCATACGGATACATATGCCCCATGACAAAAAGTAATTTGAGGCATTTATATTTATTTTGTCTCCCCAATGCAAGCTACCATTAGTGGGCCTCATTAAGAAATAAAAAATAAAGACTCTACCACACATCCATCTCTACTTTTCACTCCAACCTTTTCAACTTTTGTCACCGAACCACACTTTTTCTTTCAAGCACCCGCCTCCTGAAGAGGATCCCGCTTCCCTAACCGAACCTACTTTACGTCATATCCTATCCTACATAGCATGCGAGACATCACGTTGAGGCTATGCATTGTACATGCCCTAATGGACTGGACGTCCTAGGTGCCATGAAATGTTTACATGGACACAGAATGTGCAATGACTATATCAGAAATAGTTAGAAGAAATGAAAAATGTCCTATATAAGTTTAATTAGACTGATAAAAGTGGCTTCCATGGGACGTTGAAATGAAAATTGTTTGTGTGTGTTGATTGTGGAGTGGGTTTGACTTGGTAGGCCAAATTTCCCCTTAAATGTACTTGCTCCAAAAAAGTTACTCCCTCCGTCCCATAATGTAGGATGTTAGTGTAGTGTCAAAAATTATGGGACGGAGGGAGATAATAGAGGGCTTCCATTGGATCCTTTCAATTATGAAAATAAGTGTAGGTAGATTAGCATCATGCAACAACCATGTTCTGAACTATTGATTTTACTAATCTACACTGTTTACTCTTATTTTTGTTCACATAGCAGATGTTCTTTTGTCTTTGCATGAGACCTAAGAATGACTGAAGTAGAAGATACTATGTCTGATATCGAAATAGAAGAACTGGGTAATTCAATGAAGCATGAGCTGAGAAACTCCATTTCATCTGACACTATTTATGAAAGTGGGTCTCAATTCTGCCTGATACCAAGAATAATGAGCACATCCGTGCAATTGATAGATATTCATATGAACCAATAATGTTCTCAATCGGCCCTTATCACAATGGATCTCCTGAAGTTTCTTCTATGGACAGGGAAAAATGGAACCACTTGGACTACATCCTTAAATTAAACTGTGAGAAGGGTCTAAAAGATTACTTGACCATCATAAATGGACTAGAGAAACGAGCAAGGATGTGCTATTCTGGAGATATTAAAATGAACAAGAGTAAGTTCTTGCAGACCCTCTTACTTGATGGATGCTATGTACTTGTTTCGCTAGGGGAGTTCAATGAATTTATAACTGCTGGACCACAAAGAGGTACAGATAGTTCATCACATCCCAAAATACCTGAGGAAGATTCGACTTCTGGCCATCCAGAAATAAGAGGAAAATATGAGAGTGAACAAAGAAACACATGGAAGCAGAGTACTACAGATGAACAAGACATTGTGAATTCCAAGCATTCTAAGGAAGAAAGTTCAGTAGTTGAGATTGAGTTATGCCCGGAAATCAGTAGCTATCAAACACCAGTTGGTGTATACCAAGACAACGCCCAGCAGATTGGACAGTGGTATGATATGTTTGTTACACATGACCTATTACTGCTGGAGAACCAAATTCCGTTTTTCGTAGTTGAGGCAATATATGAGGTAGCAATTTCAAACAAGATGGCACCATCCACTACCTGTAAACCAAGTGTTGTCCGATACATAGAAACGTATGCGTCATTCTATCAAACAGCAATACGAGAGTCCAGTCGTCCACAAGATTTTGATCATTTGCTACACTTGTGTCATATGTATTTCAGACCCAGTTCTAACCAGGATGAACACCATGACCATACATCGCAAAACTATATTCATCACTTACTTCAGCTGGGACGAGATTACCTCAGTCATTTAGGTTCATCACAGTATCACCATTTCCCAAACCGATGGCGCCGGGCAACACAATATCATGAAGCTGGGATTGAGTTTAGGATGACAACATATTCTGATCATAACCCCATTCCCTCCTGGATATAAAGCTCAGAGACGGTATCCTGGAAATCCCATCCTTGCATGTAGATGAAGAAACTAATGTTCTTTTCAGGAACTTCATAGCACTAGAGCAAACATGTCCTCAAGTAGGAAATGATGTCACTGCTTACATTATCTTTCTGTCCAAGCTGATGAGCATGCCAGATGATGTAGCACTGCTGGCTCGCAAAGGAATCATCGCGCATCATATGCGCACTGACAGAGATGTATCACAGCTTTTTACCAGGCTGACAAAAGGTGTTGTCTTCGATTTCTACGGGAACTATTACCTCAATCACCTGTGTTTAGCCCTGGAGGCATATTATCAAAACCGTCTGCATAGGTGGGTTGCGTGGCTGAGGCACAACCATTTCAGCAACCCATGGCTGGTGGTCGCAGCATTGGCTGGTGTTACTGTGCTTTTCTGCACCATTGCACAGACTGTCCTTACTGTCGAGTCTTATGTTAATCCCAAGTAAGCACCTGGGGGTAAATTGACTGTGGGATTCAGATTTATCTATCTCCACTTTAGTCCCCAATGATTAGTGCACTTTGCCACGTTGCATGGAATGGAAAGCCGGAAGGTATCACTGTATGTAAAGATAAGATTTGCTCCTTAATTTTATACTTTCGTACTTTCTGAAAGAAGTGCAAGTTCATCATAGTTCATGTCTTCATAAGTTTTCTCCTTTGTTGTAACTTGTAAGAAACTATGTGCTTTTTTTACCTTTCCTTGTACAGTCAATGCTGAATATTTGCAATGTTATTTGTCACAGAAGTTGACCAATTCCTGAAGATTATTTGTTGCAATGGTGGTATATAATGGCAGTCTGGCGCACATGTAGGCCTCATTTACGTTTATCCATTTTCATTTTGATCCAATCTTTTGTTGTTTCGGTCCTTTTTTTTAGCCAAAGCAACTTCACTGGATCATAGCAAATTATTTGTGCACATTCAATTGGTTCTTCTGTAGATGTGTGCAATTTGTTTTAGTTTTCAGCAGCACATTTCTAGACACTCTTACCATGGCATAGATCACATGTTTTCCGCTTGTACAAATTCTTGCAGCTACTTGAATGTCCTGAACTCATTTTACCCATAATATACTCTGTAAGTAGGACCTCAACAATGATCCTCCTATACATCTTTCTACTGCGGTTCTCTGGAGACTATTGAGAGAAGATGGTTAATCATGTAAAAATTATGTAACATGGTCTTAAGCAAAATTATCAGTTTATCTTCTGATCTTGTATTCAGTATTTCTATGTATATTCTGACCGTTTCATCTTGTCTCAGAAGCATCAGACTCATCTTGAATCACAACATAAAATGTTACAAATAATTTTGTACTTCGAGTGCATTTTTGAAAGACTAGCAGGCTGTTTATGGTATGAGCGTTTGTGTCTGTATTGTGTCAAAAGAAAAGCAGACTGTTATGATGTGCTTTGTGGTACAAAGCACCCTTTTTGTTGTAGATAAGCACCTCTGGTCCGTTCTATATATTTCTTGGTTGTCAAATTTCGAAATATTCAAACAAAATAACGCCTGGTCATGAAACTGGGAGCCCTTTTTGGTGTTTTTTTTCTTCTTAGTTTTGGTACTATGGCTGGTTTATAAAGTTGATGCAACGAATATTCAGTCAAAGCATGTACTGCAGCGTATACATTTTGGCAATCTTATGGGCGAGGTTTTTTCAAGAAAACCAGTCAGTTTTTTGTACCGCCATATTTTCTTTGCGATCTGTTCTGTCAGTCATGCTTCTTAACCAATATTCTCTCCGTACCAAAATATAAGACGTTTGTGTAGTTCAATGCGCCAAACTTGTTCGAGCGCCTGCATCCCTTGCACCCGAGAATTAAGTGTTAAGGTGGACATTTCAGTTTTCCCTCTCCCTTTCATTTTCTGAGAAAAAGTCCAACTTTCATAGAAAGCTCTAAGCCTACCGGGATACTGGTTTGCAACGCAACACAAGGTAGACACTAAGTGCTGAAAGAAAAATGGCCAAGCACCGGGTGCCTGCTTTGGCATCGATGCCAGGGTTGACACCGGGATTGCACTAGGCAACCGCTAATCTGTTGGGATTATGAACCTGGCGCCCGGGCTAAGCGCTCAGTAATGGATCAGGCGCTTCATTAGGAATAAAAAATAATTTTTCTCCTAGTGCCTCGGCTTGGGAGTCCAGCCATGCAACACTAAGAGCTTGCGAACGGACAATTCATTTAGCGCCGGACGACTCCTATGGCATCAATGCTAACCAAAATTTGGGATTTGGACAGGATTAGGAGGAAACGGCCAGGATCTTGACCCTGGCACCCGGCGTTAGCGCCTGCATTGCAGATGCCCTAAGACCCCTCCTGTTACATGCAACAATACAACGAAGAAAAACAATAATGAAGCCAAAGAACATGAATAAGATTATATTATTGGATGGTGGAAGTATTATTTAGTACAAAAGTTTTGCATGGACAGTAAAATTGGTACAAAGATAATAAAGTTATAACCATCCAACCATAGGTTGATTCGCCATACCATTTAGAGTTACTTCCTCTATAAACATACACTCCCTTCGTCTCATAATGTAAGACATTTTTTGACGCTATACGTTATGGGATGGAAGGAGTATATCTCATATATGTTTACAGACAGAATACACAATATTCGTTGTTTTGCAGGGTGAGTTACATAATAATATCTGCTTATGGACTATCCAATGATATGGTGTGGAATTACAAGACACATCTATATTAAGTCCCAAATATTGATTTCATAAAGAAAAAGAAATGGACGGCCTTCAATTTCCCCTGTTTATAAACCCTGTGCTAGATAGAGCACTTAAAAAAACATGTGCTTGAGAATACGGCTAAATAGTTGTTTCTTTATTTTTATTTGCCCTCTAGTTAATAATTTCAATTTCATTAAGAAAAACTAACTAAATAAATGGAAAATGAAAATTAATAGAATTCTTTTTTTCTTCAAATCCAAAAACTTTCTCTTTTTTATATTGCCAACTTATCCACAAGTATCTGCAGGACAATTTCATTAGTTTCGGATCGGATGAAATACAAATACGGAAAATTATTTTGTTGTAAATATCCCATAAACTTCAACTAAATGATGAAGTCGCTTTACAATTCTGCGAACCGTCCAGAATTCCAACCCCGAGCGCTCATTTCCTCAGAAAATAGATCAGGGGGGCAAAAAGTTAACCACACGAGGAGCCACACACGACTGTAACACATATAGCGGCTCCCACCAACAACGGCGACGGCGGCAGCGGCCACGGAGGAGGGCGGCGGATCAGCGGCGCCGGCGATGGCGTCCGTAGCGGCGGTGGAGGGCGCGGCCGCGGCGCTCCGGTCGGTGCTGTCGCGCGCGCAGCAGGCGGCGGCGCGGGCGGGGCGCGCTCCGGAGTCGGTGCGCGTGGTGGCGGTGAGCAAGACGAAGCCCGTGGGCGTCATCCGCGGCGTGTACGACGCCGGCCACCGCTGCTTCGGCGAGAACTACGTCCAGGAGCTCATCGACAAGGCCCCCCAGGTTGTACCCCGCGGAAAAGCTCAAAACGTTTGTCCCCTTTCTGGCTTTGTGAATGGACTACTGATTAGAACGTGGATGGGAAACGGGTTGCTGAGTAATCTCGTTCCAGAGTTATCGTCCATCTATA